GAAAATGAGACCCGATGTGGGGCAGTGATCTAGGCAAACCTGATCCAAATCCCCACTCATCCATGAAACTCATTGGTTTACATTTGGCCAGATACTACAGATAGAAAGAAATAGGAAACAGACATATTATACTAAAAAAGAGGGTCTACTAGAAAAATTCATACAGTCACAATATTTGGATATTGACTTAAATTAAACAAGACTTGAAGACATTGACCTCATGTACACAGAATGTCATATTAATTGTGAACAACATTAGTCACCATTCAGCAATGAACATATCCTTGAAACTATGTTGTATATGTCTGTAATACGCATAAGAATTATTATCTAATAATGTAGATTAGTACATCAAAACTTCATTCTACAAAGTTCTAAAAAGAATGAGTACATTTGGTCTTTAAAAGCATTTCATCCGTTACAAAAGTGAAAATCTTTCATGTGAGTTATTTCCATTGTTTCCCAATAGCATCTCTTTTTTGACTGAAAAATGTTCTCAGGAGAGAAAACTGGGGAGGAAAAGCTTTTTTTCTGACTTTTTCCTGGTCTTCTGAACTCTTTCTGAAGGCCAAAGTTCAAGTATTGGTTAGAATTAACCAGCCACTTCCTTGGCTGCAAGCTTCTGGTCATTCTCATTATCAAGTGTGAATGAATGACTAGGAAAAAGAGATGATCTCATGTTCTGGTAGGGACAATGTGACAGGTTGAGCTAGTTGGATTTGTGCTCTGCACCTGATTCCTTGTATTTAAGTCTGCAAACTAATAGGATCATATAAATTGGGTTCCATAGAAGTTTATTGTTTCTTCATTTTCATATCAGATTGAGGGGTGGAGGGTATAAGACATTTGTATCGGTATGATGATCAGCCCTCATCCCTAAATTCCAAAGTGAAGTTTAGAAATGGAATTTGAAGGCCATTTTATTTATTCATATATTTTAGCCTGGTGCAGAGAACTTTCTTCTCCCATTTATCATGGGACTTTACTATGAGATTTGCGATTTTGCCACAGTACTGTACTTTCCATAATGCTATTCACTTTTTGAAGAAATTCCAGTTTTCAGAGCTTCACGGTTTAAACCTGGGAGGGAAAAAACCAGTTCAAAATTGTATGATAAATTTTTAGATATGAAGCCGATGGCAGTCCCATTGCTACCCCTGAAAACTAAGTAGCAAAATCACATTTTGCCCATTTTTAATGCTGGCTTTTTTGGTCTAGTGTCACACTCAAGACCTGAACACACACAAGACCTGAGGAACTAAATCGAATATATATTTGGAAAAAGCATCAACAAAGTTAAATAGATAAAGATATTGAAATATTTCAGAGACCCTTACCTGTTAATAATGTTGCTGATAAGAACAGGAAATGATCTAGAAACACCTAATGAAAATTCAGGAAACCTCTTACAGAAACTCACCTTAAAACATATGATGGTCTTCCTGGTTCACAGGTCATTTACAAGTATAAAACTGCTGCATTATGGGTATTCATAATTAAGTTTGCATTGACATCTCAGCATGGACAGTCTCCAGATCACTTTCCATCATCTGTGTGGGAGGAGTTGGCAGAATTTTACTGCTCTGAGATCCCATCTGGTAGGGTACTTAACAGACGTTTGGGGACTGCTGACAGACTGTGTGAGCAGATTTAATCCCTCATAGTTTACTTAGAAAGATGCTGTGGAGGAGAAATCAAAAGGAAGCATTCAAGAACCATTTAGTATTGATTTGTGAAAAATCTGGCCTGATCCCAGCATGCCAAAGGGTTATGGACTGGTGTCTTCATGACTTTGTGTTGTGATCACATATTCAGTTAAAGATAGCTGTATTCTAATTATGACAGGCACATGTGCATCATAGATTATCAAATGAATATCAGCAAATCTGTCATGTTGTACTCATATTTGCTCTTGCTGTCTTGGATATTACTCATTATATTTTGGAAAGATGACACCCAAGGAGCCAGTAGCAAGATGCAGTGTCAAAAGTAGGTAATGGTCAGTTCTCTGAGGAGTCCAGTAAGGTTCTGAAAGCCAGAGGCAACAGTAGAGTTGCCAGGTCCCTTTGCTGCGCTGGAGGAGGATTTGGGGGCATTCCGGGGTGAGAGGGGATTTTGCACGATGTGCTGACATCACCCAGAAGTGACATCAGCGTGTCATGGGCAACGCTCTGCTTTTGGGGCAAAACTCTATGGTAAAAACAGCCTCAAATCATAGAATGGTGCCCAAAAAGCATAGCATCACCCCCCCATGTCACCAGCCAGCCAACTGGCCGGTGGCGGGCAGAAGTCTGCAAAAGCAGGGATCCCCTGTCCCCACCTGGGGAATGGTATCCCTAGGCAACAGGTATATTCACAGCCAGGCGAGGTCGAGTATGCAGGGAGGCAACAGTTACAGCTGGGAGGGAGGAACAAGCAGGAGACATTAAACTCGGTTGGGTCAGGTTTGTCCACTGCTTGGCCCATTTTGAGTCTCAGAAGGGTACCTTACAAGCCCCCTTACTTCTGTGTCTCTAGAATAGAAGCATTCATATCATAACTCTGCAAATGAGAAATTGTGTATTTCTTGGAGGAAAGTCTACATGACGCAAGTCAGTGGTATAAAATAATATGCAGTGCTGGTACTGCAAGTATTGTCATAAAAATTATCTGCAATTTTCTGGGTTTTTGTAGATGAAACATTATCTGAATCCTTGTCTGTGTGACTTTTGACCTTCTGTAGTGAAACTGCCTTGCGTGCCTTTGCTGAAGCCCTGCACTAGGAAAATGTGTGTTTCTGTTGGTCTTCCCGGATTTTTCTGTGGCTATTAGTACTATCAGCTTCCTAACCACAAAAGCATATTACAGTGGCTTTGAACCTTCTTGAAAGGCAGTGCTTACAAGGAGAATTCTGCTCTTCCTATCTGGCTATTAGCCTGGGATTTTTGCAGGGCTCTATCTGAACCCTGCAAAGGACATCAGGTGATCTGAGTATGGTGTTATCATTATGATGTTGACACCCAGCTTATTTTAGGCAAGATGGAGAAGTTACCAACAGAGTCAGCTGAGGTAGCATCCAGCCTGTTTTGGATAGGTTTGTACTATCCTTGAAGACATGGGTTTACATTTTGGAGTTACTCCTGAACCTGGACCTGCTCTTGGATACTCAAGTGACAGTGATGGTCAGGAATGTCTTTATTATCTTAGACTGGTGATATACCAAGGCTGCGGTCACACACCCCGAATAATCCACTTTCAATCCACTTTCAGTGCACTTTTCAACTGTATTTTGTCAGTTCACACAGTAAAATTCAGTTGGAAAGTACACTGAAAGTGGATTGAAAATGGATTATTTAGTGTGTGTGACCACAGCCCTACTGTGATCCTTCCTGGAGAAGTCTGACCTCAAGGGTGCAGTCACAAATGTCCCCCCCCCCCCGATTGGATTATGCGGAAGAACAAAGTTTGAGTCTAGTGGCACCTTTAAGACCAACAAGGTTTAATTCTGGGTATAATTTTCTGAAGAAGTGTGCATGCACACAAAAGCTTATCCCAGAATTAAACTTTTGTTGGTCTTAAAGGTGCCACTGGACTCAAAATTTGTTCTACCGCTTCAGACCAGCACAGAATCTGTCTACATGAGAAACTGTCTTTTAAAAGTTCTCAGAAACTTCAGCTGGATTCCAGGCCAAATTTAAAAATTCCACTTTTGATAGCTTTTCGGGGCTTCAGTCCGCCACCAGTCAGCTGGCCGGTGGGGGAAACCCCAGCCACACCCAGGTGCAACGTCCCCAATGTGGTGACATCACTTGGAAGTGACATCGCATGTGATGCTCTGGTTTGAGGACAAAACTCAATGGTAAATTTGGCCTAAAAACAAGAGTTTTGCCCTTAAATGTCACACAATGTCACCGATGCAATGATGTCACTTCCGGAACGCCCCTTAGATCCCCCTGCTGGCACGATGAGGGGACCTGGCAACCCTAATCTCTGAAGAATTTGGAACCAGGAAGCCTGAATAACCACCTTCTCCACCATGATCCTACTTTGATGCTGAGGTCAGCGGCCAAGACCCTGCTTTGTGTGTCACCACCATCAACAGTTGGTGCATGGACATATGTGACTGTCACAGTGCCATGTTTGAGGAATTCCCTCTGCCATTTGGCACATCTGGCTCCATCTTTCTGAATTTTGGGAAGGCTGACCAATTTTTTTAAATCTGGTTCTTTCTGAAACTCAGACAGAAGCAACTGAAAGGTTGGTCTTACCATTTCCCCAGTTTGTTGTGGCACCATCTGTAAGCTGAAGGTGGTTTGTTTCTACCCGTTGCTAGTTCAATTGCTGGATTAATTGTATATTGATTATAAACTGCAGTTTGAAAGTATGGTTTGAAGTGAATTTGGAAACCATGTCTTATTTTAAGCATGGTTAAGCATTAGATCAGCAAGCAAACCACAATTAAGGTCTTCTCCAGTCATTTTGATTGTATAAAGACATGTAAATCATCCCGGTGTCATCCTATACATATATTCTAGGATTAGGACTTAGTTTAAAGTGAGAAACTGTGGTTAGCATTTATAATGGTTAAGTGATATGCCTGCAATGGTCCTCACTGTTGCTGTACAACGGTAATTCATTTCAAGCCTTATTGAAATGAATTCATGGAGGACTGGAAGCCACCCACAAAGACTTAGCCTATACATACAGCAGGTTTTTATGTTGGGCTCTATTTTTCCCTTGGCCGACAATAGGAACCGCATGCATTCATTGTTGTGGATCACATTTCCCTAGTCTATATTTTCATTCTGTTTACTTTCTATCAACTAAAATCTTAATCTGCAAATTGAAATGCACATAATTCATTATTCTTTGCTAGTAACTTTTCTTGGGGATCTGTTTTAAACATCTGTTTGCTCATCACTGTAGAAAATATTATCTTTATAACTTCATCTGATAATCCAGATATGGTTTATTACAACTCAACTATACATGTTAAGTAATTATCCCTTTCTTTTTTTTAGATCAGTTTTTCCCTGCAGCATGCAATATAGAAAAGAATTTTATTTCCCTGAACTATCTTGCGGGATACGTGCAACCAAAGCCAGCAGAAGGGTGCATCATCTCCAACAGTGACCAAGGAAAAGAAGTTCATATAATTGAGCTAATTACCCCAGACTCCAATCCATACAGGTAAAGTGACCAGTCAGTTTTTTTAAAAAAAGAAATCTGTGATCGTGAGAGAAATAAAGCCCTACACAGCGGAAGTGAGAGAAACGTTTCTATTATGGTGCTTGGAAATAAGGATTCCAAAGTTGTTGACCAAACATTTTGAAAAAAAAGGGATAAATATGATGTTTATCCTGGAGGAATATTACAGCAGAACATCATATATTGCCTTCAAATTGTGTCTTAATATTTTATTTACTAACAAGATTTGTACCCTGCCTTTCTGTCATCCTAGGGCCACCAAGGCAGCTAACAAATTGCATCATACAAATTAAAATCTAATTTTAAAAGCCATTAAAACCAAAGGCATCATTAGAACAAGTTAAAACCAGAGTTTAAAAAGAAGTGCGAAGATTAAAACAATAAAAGGGAGGAGCATAGCAGTCTGAGGTCTGCTCTCAGTTTCACTCCCAGTGGAATCTTGGGTGCAAGCAATCACCCAAATGGGCCCCTAGAGAGTGTTCCAGATTTGGCTTGGAGAGAACAGATATTAGTTTCCTCGTGACAGGATTCCGTTATCCTAAAGACCAGCAGCAGGCATAGCTAATAACTACATGGTAAGTTAAAAATGTCCCATGGTGAGAAATCACATATTGATTTCAAATAGCCGCATCTTTGACTCCAGGCCTTTTAGTTTACCTGTATATCATTTGGATTTGAAATAAAATACAATGGTGCAGTAATTTTACACTAGAAAGTTCCTTGGCAAACATACTTTCCAAAGCCTAGAAGGCAGATGTCTTTTTATATTATTTTTGCATTTCTACCATGGCAAGGTTGCCAAGTTCAATTCTGAGGTATGATAAGTTGACATTTGCTTCACATTAATGAATAAGTGGGATATAAACATACGTTTAAGATTTGTAATGAATAAATCGGAAAACTTTGCAAAAAGAAAAAAGGGGGGGAGTTTAGCTCCTGGTGATTTTTCTGACATCAAAATAGAGAATGAGGAACCGACAACCTTTAAATGTGAAGAGAGAGCTGGTGGGCAGTAATTATTAAGCTAAAAAGCATTTTGTTTCCATTGTTATGTAAAATTGTTTTAACATGTGTGGCTTAACGGTCTGTTTTGCACATGTTGTACCGTCTGGGATAACCTCCAGTGTTTTAATCAGCTGGCCAGACACAGAGAAGATGATGGATTTGAAGAAGGTTGATAGCTGAAAATTTCTGGCATGCTGGCTCACGTTGCCTTTATTTTTCACGTTCAGTGCTTTCCAGGTGGATATCATCATTGACATTAGACCATCTAGGCCAGACATCACACTTGTCAGAGACCTTGTGCTTATCCTCAAGTGTAGAAAATTTGTCAATTGGGTCATGAAGTCACATGACGTTAAGGGGCAACTGGAAGTGATTGTAAGTAAATACAGCACGGCTTCTTGTTTTGGGGGAGGCAGGGGGCTGTTAACAGCTTATGTTGCATGTGAAACCAAGTGAGAGTATGATAACAGACATATCTCTGAATGTCTCCTCCCTTTTCATTAACACTGTTGGATGATAGTGTTGTTTTTCTGGCTGCTGGGTGATGTGCTGCTCTGTTGATGGGTGGTAATACTAGTGAGGGATGAATCCTCCTCATGTCTGATATCTTTGAGGGAAGCATCTATATTCAGATAAACAATCATTTTGATTTTTTTCAGCACCTTAGTGATGAAATAGGCCAGACTTTTAAAGAATTCCTAGAAAGGATTGCAAAATTAATGTGTGTTTCTCATTGTACAAGGCTACTCTGTTTATTCCCCTCACTTAATTATAACCCCAAAAGATCAGATGTGCCTCAGGTCTTCCTCCAGCCTTCATACACAAATGAAACCAACTCACAGACTAGATGAGAGTCTCAGTCAGAGTATTATGGCAGTCCTTGAAACCTTGGACCCCATGGTCTTAGCTTTCCGATCTTGGAGCCTTGTTTTGTGTTACCTTTTCTGATACTGTTGCGGTTGCAGCAGATGAGCTTTTGCATCTTTTTGGGGCTGTTGGGCTAAAATCACCCCCAGTGAACAGATGCACATTATAATGTCTGGTAGAGTTTGCCAGGAAGAGGTGAGGCTCTGCCTCTAGTCTCTGATACACTGCTGTTGCTGTTGTGCATAGGATGAGAGTTGCCTAGCCCAGCTGATGAAGCTTCAGGCTCTGCCAGAGAAGAGCAAAACAAAAGACCTGGTAGTGCCATGCAGGGCAAGGAGTGAAATGCAAAGATGCCCAGTCAGTTTCTCCACTCGGCTTCTCTGTTTAAGGGTTCTGCTTGCCAAACCGCACAGTGGAAAAGGGGAATTGTCAAAGACCATAGCAGGGTCTTAAACGGAAGGGTACACAAAAGAGAGGTAATCTAAACCTAGAATTGAACACAGGTAGCTAAATGTATAGCTTTCTAGAATCCTTCAATGACTTTCAGCAAAAGGCCATTCATATCCAAGTGGTGGGTACTTCAGTCACATTGTGTTACAATAACTGTATATATTGCAACACTGTAGAACAAATTACCTCACCTTAAAGAAAGGGATGCTGTTAGTTACCTCCATGCTTGAGAGGAGATGGATGGAGCATAACAACAGGGTCTCAGTTAATTACTCTCAGCATTACACAATTAGGGAGGATACATTTGCACATTGTTTATCCCATTGTAGCCCAGAGGTGCTGCCTTTACCCTAGGGTAGCCCCAACAACAGGGGTACCCCACTTTCCAACCTGAGCCAGAGACCCACAAACCCAGACCAGGAAGGCACTCTTGGTTCTGAACCATAGAGCTAGCAAAAGCGTTGCAAAAAGGTCTCCATTTTCAGGTGGCATAAAAGGTAATTAAGGGAAATACTTTAATAAAATTTACTAATTAATTTACTCTTCAAATCTGGAGTTTTCCTACCGTGCCAGGCCTCAGTATACAAGTGGTGTGCGATTCTTGTACCCCTCTGGCCTATCATGCCACATAGCTAACTTCCCCAAACAACAAGGCAAGCCGTTGGGGGTAACACCATGACACATGTAAAGCAGTGTAAAGCAGTAAATGAGATAGAATTAAGTTTCTGCTTGCATACATCTTCAGGCAAAATCTGTGATGTAACAATATATGATCTATTAATAAATGACACTGGACATGTGTATTTTGGAGCCAGATCACAGTTTGTGAGTAGAAGAAAATTTACACTAAAGCCAACAGTCCAAGTACAGAATCTATATTAATGCTGATCAGTGCAATTAGGACAGAAAATATTATCCATCCTTACTGCAGTAGGTTATCACTTGGGGGTGTTGATATCAGCATACCACACCACATGAAACCAAGATAACAACACACACACACAAATCCTAATGTCAAATAAGACACATTCAAATGTTTAATCACTTATTTTGCTACCCAGATGGCTTTGTTTAAATCAGAGGTAGGTAACCTTTTCCCCTTGAGTGCTGAAAAAAGAAATGCATTGTCTATTTGTGAGGATGTTGGTATGTTGACAAATGAAAAGGGGCAGGGGTGAGACAAGGATTGTACCTGTCCAGATACACTGTGAGGAAGCCAAGCCCCAGTGGCTCTAGAGTGCCTCAGCAGCCTCCCTTGGTTGCTAGGTAGAAACTGGTTGCGTTTACTGAGAAAAATGTTATGCTGAATAAATGATGTAGTGGGGACAAGTTCTGGGGGTTGTCTATCCCTGGTTTAGATTTTAAAGCAAGACACATTACTAAATAGCAAGTGGAAGATAGAAAATACAAAATTCTGACTGCACTTGACCAATAGGTAAATAAATATCTAATTTTAAGAATATATTTAATTTTTAAAACATGAGCCCTGGACCAGCATAGTTCAACAATGAGAGACTTGGTGCACTTCTTTGCAGACTCCTTCAATCTTAATAGGCTACTTGGAGGCATCAGTAGAGATGTAAACAGTCCTTTTAAAAATGGCAGGTTTCAGTTGTGACAGTCATCTTCTGAAAGAGATATTTGTTCAGCTGTTTTATCTAAAAGAATAATAATAATAAAACAGGAAATCCGGTGAATTTAGGGAATGTAGTAATCTCAGTCAGTCTGAATTGCTCACTTGTTTGAAACATCTGTAAGAAATTCTATCTAGATTTGACTCCACTGAAAATATCGTCTTTTGGGCAGGAGCAGAAAAGGCAGGCACAGCTCAAGAGGAAGAACTTTCCCCTCCCACACCCCACAATAGGATTTGCTAGCACAAACAAAGCCGTTTTTGTAAATGGATCTCTTTTTGGTACCACCTGCAGCAAACCATTCAAATGTATACAGAGAGAGAGCGAGAGAGAGAGAGAGCGAGAGAGAGAGAGAGCGAGAGAGAGAGAGAGAGATGTGAGAGAGAGAGAGAGAGAGAGAGAGAGAGAGAGAGAGAGAGAGAGCTGGATTGCCTTTAGTAAAATCTGTATTTCTGTCCTGGATGCTAACTTTAATTCTTATGACAATGTAACAGCTTTACAGAGCACCAAGATTTAGGGATTGCCTGTTCATTGTTGTTTATTTGTGGTATATCAACATGCCCTGATAAAAAGAAACATTTTGACTTGGAAAGGACACCATGGATACCGTTCCCCCTATAATTTTGTAAAATGGCCTTTGAATTTGCTTACCATATGGTAAGATTATTGTTTACTATTTGCTGGGAAATGTTATGACATTAAACCCCCTCTCCCTAAGTACAGTGGTCCCAATCGGAATTGATCATTACAGGAAAGGGTTAACAATGATCAGAATAGGCAAAATAAAATGTAAAAATTGGGATTTTAATGAAATGGACCAGATATTATGAACAACATAATCAATGTGTGCAAAGTACTTCTTCACCCAAAGAGTGATTAACACATGGAATTCACTGCCACAGGAAGTGGTGGCAGCTACAAGCATGGACGGCTTCAAAAGGGAATGAGATAAGCATATGGAGCAGAGGTCCATCAGTGGCTATTAACCACAAGGTTGGGGGGTCAACAGTGGGAGGGCTTCTAATGTCCTGGGCCAGGCCCCACTGGTGGACCTCCTGATGGCACCTGGTATTTTTGGCCACTGTGTGACAGAGTGTTGGACTGGATGGGCCTTTGGCCTGATCCAACATTGGCGTCTCTTATGTTCTTATGTTCTTAAGTTGCATTGCAAACAGTCGATCCACTGGTGCATCTAGGTCAGCATTGTTTCCTCTGATGGGAAGTAGCTTAAGCAGAGAAGGGGGTTTCATAACACCTACTACCCAATATACTCTAACTAGAGAAATCATTGAATCAGGGACTATCTGCATGCAAAGCTTTGGCTTTGAGCCATGTTGCTCAATAAAGAGATAATTTATCTGTTAGTTTCCATTTTTTTAATCTCCTTCCCATTCCTACTGCTTTGGACAGATAAAATGTTAAACATTTCCTTTCAGTAGTTTTAAATGAATTGGGTACATTGCTTTTTATATTTCTATCCATTAATTAAAATTTGCATGATACAAAATCTTATTTAACATTTTAAAAGCGTGTGTTTCATTACAACCTTAGAACAAAGTTTGAGTCCAGTGGCACCTTTAGGACCAACAAAGTTTGATTCAGGATATAAGCTTTCTTGTGCATGTTCCATTGCTTCAGACCAACATGGTTACCCACCTGAACTCATTACAACCTTGTTATTAAGGGCCATTTCAACTCACCCCGAGTTAAATATATAATTCAACACGGGGGACATTTAGTAGAAAAAGAGGTGCAGGAGCTCATTAGCATAATTCATTAGCATACATTATTTGCATATGCCACACCCCCTGACATCACCAGAAGTATGTCAGAAGGCAAGAAAGAAGGAAGGGGGAGGGAGGGAGGGAGGGAGGGAGGAAGGAAGGAAGGAAGGAAGGAAGGAAGGAAGGAAGGAAATAGGGAGAGAGGAGTGGAAGGGAGAGAGGAAGGAAGGGGAGAGCTGGAAATGCTCAGATCCCCCCCCCCAGTCTCTCCGCAAAAGTGGAGCAGCTCAGGGGGAAAGGAGGGCATGTCTGCCTGGCTTCCCTTCCTGTCTCCAGCCAGCCTGGGCTGCCTGGAGACACAAATGGGAGCTCGGCAAACATGGCTGGCTTCCCTGCACGATCTTCTCTGAGTGCCCCGTGGCGAAAAGATTGCTCAGGAAAGCCAGGCATTTAAATCCCCCCCAAGTCTCTCCGCGAAAGTGGATCGGCTCAGGGGGAAAGGAGGGCATTCTGCCCAGCTTCCCCTCCTTTCTCCAGCCAGCCTGGAAGGGGAGTCAGGCAGACATGCCTGGCTTCCCTGCGTGATCTTCTCTGAGTGCCCCATGGTGAGAAGATTGCGCAGGGAAGCCAGGCATTTTTTTAAAAAAAACCTTGAGTCTCTCCACAAAAACAGAGCTGCTCAGGGGGAAAGGGGGGCATGTCTGCCTGGCTTCCATTCCTGTCTCCAGCCAGCCTGGGCTGGCTGGAGACAGGAAGGGGAGCCGGGTAGACATACCTGGCTTCCCTGTGCGATCTTCTCGGAGTGCCCCGCAGTGAGAAGATCGTGCAGGAAGGCCAGGTATTTAAATCCCCCGAGTCTCTCTGCAAAAGCAGAGCAGCTCAGGGGGAAAGGAGTGCATGTCTTCCCGGCTTCCCTTCCTGTCTCCAGCCAGCCTGGGTGGGCTGGAGACAGGAAGGGGAGCCCAGCAGAAATGCCTGGCTTCCCTGCGCGATCTTCTTCGAGCGCCCCATGGCTGCGGGGCACTCGGAGAAGATCGCGCAGGGAAGCCAGGCATTTAATTCTTCCCCCTCCTGAGGGAGCAGGGCCTGGGCTTGTTACTGCCGGAGCGCCACTCCAGGGCGCTCCGGCAGGAAACGACCCCTGATTCAACAGAATCTGAGTTTTATACTCTTAGCAGCCAGAACTTCAGAATTAAATTTTAAAGCCTCCTAAATGTAATGCAGCAAATAGTCCTATTTCCTTGTTCAGCAGAAGCAAGATAAAGGAAATAAAATACTTCTCCATAAAATGTAACATCTTCATTTCCCTAAGGTTTAAAAATATGTGTACCATGACTAGGGAATCCCTTGTATGAAGTCCTAAAGTATTCTGTCTCATTTATATTCAGGCAGCGAATAGTGTTGGCTTTGGAAAAGAATCTGAGCGCTCTATGACGATGACTAAAACCATAATATCTGATATTCCGTCCTCTCATGAAAGCTTGATTACATGGGCTTATGACCATGGCTACAGTCCAGTCACTTCCTATACAAAAGCGCCTGTTGCTAATAGATTCCATCTACGGCTCGAAGACACTGGTAAGGATGACGATTGTTATCTAGTACAACAATATTTTGGAACATTCATTTTCTACTTTCCAAGGGTTTTGGTTTTTCCAGATCATTTGGACTTCTCATGAGAGGAATTTATGCAAGATTCCTGTTAGGAGGCACATTTTTGTTAGCCTTGCACTTTAAAATCTACAGTCGTTAACTGTTTTCAGTTACAGATAGCAGTGAAGGGCTTTTCATGTTTTTAACTGAGAGTGCAATTTTCACATTCATACTTAATAGCTAAACTCTAGTCTGAAACAAAGCGACAAGTTATTGTGGTTCCAGTGAGGAGGTCAAGGGGGTAGGAGGTAGGGATTGGTGATCTGCTGCAAACATTCAGTTAGGCATATTTTGCTAACTGAGAAGGATGAGCGGTTCTCCAGTTTTTCCCTCATCCCAGGACCACTGTGTTTTGTAGATTTTATACTGAGAAAGATATGTGCTTATCTTTAAAAAAATCAATAAATTAATAAAAATAATTAAAAATTAACAAAAGGCTACTCACTGATTTCAGACAGGAAAGGATATGCAGTTAGCAGAGCAGAGTTCTACCCTTCTTAAGTCTATTGAAGTCAGTGGGGTTAAAAAGCTGTAACGATGGCACTGTAGCTCAGGTCTGGGCAGAGGGTTACCAACCCTCAGGTGGAGCCTGGAGTTCTCCTGAAGCTACAGTTGATCTCCAGACTACACAGATCAGTTCCCCTAGAGGAAGCAGCAGCTACGAGGAGACTGTTATAGATTCACATCCCCTCTGAGGCCCTTCCCCTGCCCTCCGCCCTCCTCAAGGACCACCCCAATCGCTAGGAATTTTCCCATTCTGGAGTTGGTAATCCTATCTGTGTAGGATCCTGTGATTTTAGAACATAAGACAAGCCAATGCCCCTGTATAAATCGATGGTACGTCCTCATTTGGAGTACTGTGTACAGTTCTGGTCACCACACCTCAAAAAGAATATTATAGCATTGGAAAAAGTGCAGAAAAGGGCAACTAGAATGATAAAAGGGTTGGAACACTTTCCCTATGAAGAAAAGTTAAAGCGCTTGGGGCTCTTTAGCTTGGAGAAATGACAACTGAGGGGTGACATGATCGAGGTTTATAAGATTATGCATGGGGTAGAGCAGGTCGAGAAAGAAGTACTTTTTTTCCTTTCTCACAATACAAGAACTCGTGGGCACTCCATGAAATTGCTGAGCGGTCAGGTTAGAACAGATAAAAGGAAGTACTTCTTCACCTAAAGAGTGATTAACACATGGAATTCACTGCCGCAGGAGGTGGTGGCGGATGCGGGCATGGACAGCTTCAAAAGGGAGCTGGATAAACATATGGAGCAGAGGTCCATCAGTGGCTATTAGCCACAAGATATAGATGGGAACTCACAGGCTGGGGCAGGTGATGCACTGTATTCTTAGTACTTGGGGGGAGCAACAGTGGGAAGGCTTCTAGCATCCTGGCCCCACTGATGGACCTCCTGATGGCACCTGGTATTTTTGGCAACTGTGTGACAGAGCGTTGGACTGGATGGGCCATTGGCCTGATCCAACATTGGTTTCTCTTATGTTCTCTTATTTTCACGCCAGTGGCCCATCCAGTCCAATACTCTGTCACACAGTTGCCAAAAATACCAGGTGCCATCAGGAGGTCCATCAGTGGGGCCAGGACGCTAGAAGCCTTCCCACTGTTGCTCTCCCCAAGCACCAAGAATACAGAGCATCCCTTGCCCCAGACTGACAGTTC